CCCCCCCGCCGTATCGCCGCGACGCCAGCTCCGCGACTTTATGGAAACATTTTTTGTTTTACTTATTAAAGAATGTTATAAGTCAAAAGGTAAAACTGATTTAGTTCAAGCTCAAAACATATAGGATATTATTATTGGTACTCTTCATGCTTTTGCTGAGTACGATTGATGACTTTTTTTATAACTTGATTATTGTTCAGTGATGAGAAATGGGAAGAAGAGTTTCTTTTTTGTAATAGTAGAGAAGGTGCTAAATTACTGTAAATGCTTATACTTGTCAGGGGGGTGGGGGGAGTCACTTTTTATATGTCTTTTTCTTTTTTCTTTTTCTTGCTGTCTTTCTTCTTTTTGTTTGTATATCTTTTCTAATTCTGTATTACCTTTTAATTATGTAAAACTTTAATAAAAATATTGTGAAAAAAATTCAAAGAGGTTGAAAATAGTAAAGATACTCAAAATGAGGAAGTTGGTGCAGAGAATTAACAGTGAGAAAAACAACAAATACTTTGGAAATGTAAAATGAGAAGGTTGGAAGAGCAGAAAAAAGCTAAACAATTATAAGTGAAACATATCCATCTTACCTATTGACAATAAATTGCTTATAGAAACCCAGTAAAAACAACTGTGAATAACCTTTTGTAATGGTGTGTGGGAAAGACCTTGAAAGACAGGGCAAAGCAATGCTGTCTAGGGAACAGTCAGATAAAAGACAGCATAGCCCACAGCTGGAAAGTAGGCAGGGCAAGAGGCTCGGAAGGGACCCTCCCTAGTTTCTCAGGCTGTAAAGGAGATGGGGAGAATTGTACTTTCAGACTTGCAAGATTCTGTTAATGTAGCTTTACAATAAAGTAGAATTAGCCTGGTAAGATCTTTTTTCTATCCAAATGTCTTTTTTCAGATGAGATATTCTTAAGTTAGGGTCATTTTCCCTATAAGTATCTGCAGTGCAAATACATCCTGCTTCACAGTATTAATTTTAAGACTTACCAGTTACATTGTTCAAAACTTCTTTCAAAACACTGAAGCTGTGCAATAAGGGATCACGCTCTTCATCCTAAACATATGAATATATTGTTACATATTTAAAGCTGGATCCTCAGCAGAGAATGAACACTTTAATCTTCTTTCAATATAGTCTTCAAATGACACATTATATATATGAATATAAAGTGAAATTTCTTATAAGTATTAAGAGTTTACAGTTCTTACTTCTGAAGAAAAAATAAGTTTTTTGTAGAAGAGGACAGTATATGATACCATTCAAAATTTCAGATGTTTCTACACCACAGCACAATATACTACAATATAGCATGGGATATAATAGGGCACCTAGAGATTCTAACTCAGGGAAACAAAATGATGTGTTAGCCATCACTAGACTTGGTGGGATAACGTGGAAGGCAACAATGTATTCAAAAGAAACACACCCACAAAAAAAGATGGGGTATTATACAACTCCTAAAGAAAATATACAAGTGCACAAAAATTCAGGAACTGGAGTATGAAAATCTTATTGAAAGTGTTTAGGTAAGAATAAAAAGAGACACAACACTAATACATTCACGTGAGGCTTTTTTTACAGACTATGAAGGCAGGCAAAAAATATAGACGATGTCTTCCAGCATCACATTAATCCTTCAGAAGTATACAATAGGAATAATGGGAGATTTCAATTATCCTGATATCTGCTGAGCATCTAACTCTGTCAAGAGTCCAAGGTCCAACAAATTCTGGTGGATCAAGTGATAGACTTTTCTACTGGCCCAAATGCAATATCAGACCATGTTCCAGTGACTGCTATGTTGAAATCTGAAAACTTTATTAACTCTAGCATTTGAATTAATAAGAGAGATTTCCTTTGTGGAATATAAAAAATCTTTTTTAATTAACAGAAATTATGTTAATCTATTGCCTGTTTGGAACTCTCTTAAGGCATACATTTGTGGATACATGATAGCCTTTGCCTCAGAAATCTAGAGACGTTTATCTAGAGACATTAATACAACAGGAAAAGATGGTGAAAGATTTATTGTTGAACCTTATAAAGCATTTTGCCAGCTAAGATTAAACTAAGGTGACTACACAATTGAACAAATGGAATATTTCTTGAAATGAATTAAGCAAAAATATGGGGAATCTGGTGATAAAGCTAGAAATTTACTAGCCTACCAGTTGGAAAAAAACAAAAACAACGATGTAATTTCAGGAATCCAGTCTAATGTCTGTCAGTTATAGACAGAACTATTAACCATATTTTTAATACTGCATTATATAAATCTGATTCCTTTGTAACTATAAAACAAATTGTAAATTTTGGGGGGAACTACTGAAATTTAAGAAATTTCTCAGGAACCTATAAGCCATTTGGCCCAACCACTCTCCTTATACAAAATTAGAGATAATGTTTAATGTTCATGTCAATTATACTAATCATGATATGGCTACATTAATGACTTGCCTTCTACAATACTGAAGGGAAGGTATAACAATATTCCTTTTGCAAAGCAAACGTGCCCTTTTAATCAAGGGGAACCTGAGACTCTAGCCCAAGTGTTCCGTCAGGGTCCTTTCTATAAAAGCTAACCCTCTATCCTCATAACTCTCCTTGCTTGTAGTTAGTGACTGCTGTTAGTTCTGAGGATGATTATATTTCAGCCTGGAACCTTGATATTTTTTTTTACAGCTGCCATTGCTTTACATAAGAAAATACTATCTTAATTTATTACTATGTAGAAAAAGTTATAAAGTTATACTATATGCTGACAGATATAAGGTATTTTGAATAACTACTTAATATCATTATTTCAGGTTACTAAAGTTGTACGAAGTCGCACTGTTTGACTTGAGTGGCCATATAAATACTTTAAATAAATAAATGAAGCTTATATTCAGGGTATACTGCTACTTGGAAAAAATAGCTATAGATTACTGTCAAAAGTTGGGATTTATCTTAGATTGTATAAAATATTTGGGACAATATTATCTTAGATTGTATAAAATATTTGGGACAATATTTTCCCCAAAATACCCTGAATGAAATATATCTAACTGCATAAATATGACTGCATTGGATATAAATTGTTGATTAAAATTGCCTTTGAGCCTCTAGGGAAAAATTAATGTAGTCAAATTAACATAACTTCTAGACTGATGCATATCAAGAGAGATTCCAATGTTAATTCCTGTTAGGTATTTTACACAGATTGAGAAAGTTTTTTATAGCAGTCAAATATGACTAACCTTAATCATCTGCCTGGCAGTATTTACAATTAAAATATATATTACTATAACAGTATGGCCCAGAAACTTTAGCAGCTTCAGAGGCACTTGAAATACTCGGAGGTTTAAGTGATGCTGTATTTGAAATAAAACCAACAATTCAGTTCTATATGAAACAAAAAGATATGATGGTTAATACTGATGTATAATCTGTAGAATAAGGAATTGGGTATCAAATCATAGAATATCAATTCACCCAAGTTTTAGGAAATATTAAATATACTTATGACCTCAGAATGAAGTTAATTCAGGAATGAAGTTAAATAAAGCTTGTTCCATGTCTACTGGATTTTCCAAAGAATGTTTTTTAAAAAAAAAGGTTCACTATCAGAGTTTTTGAATTAGCACTGTATGAAATCCGAGGGTACCTCAGTACATCCATGTGACTCCTCTACTTCACAAGCTGCACTGGTTACCAACCAGTTGGCCTCCAGGTGTGATTCAGCATGCTAACCCTTTGTGAAGTGGGGCCTGGATATTTATAGGACTGCCTTTCTCCCATTCTGTCTGTCCATCCTATAAGATCTGGCAGAACAGGCATGCTTCAGGTCTCACCTATAAAGCAATGTCATCTTGTAGGACCCTGGAGGTCTGTCACCATTTCTGCCCTCTAGAGTAGCATTTCCCTGAGGTTCATTTGCCTCTGATCCTTCAGAAAAGTGTTATAATTTGGATTTTCCAACACATCCTGAGTCAGGGCAATTTGTGAACCACTTGAATCTTTGCATATTCCCCACTATGCTGCTATTATTGCATTTGGTTCTGTATTGTTTTCTCTTTTACTGAAGTTTTTAAACCACTGTACCTTAAGCCATTTCAATTAAGTCACATTGTAAATTGAATAAATAGTAAGGATTTGGACTACTCATTCTCTCAGCCTTTTATCACCCACAAGTCTGGCAAGAACAGAAATAAAAGGGTGAAAATAATCTTGTCTCCTGGAAGTATGGGTTAACAACATAATTAATTAATTCAAGGTGTGTCCAGCAGATATTCCAGGTCAAGAACAACACATTCAAGTCATTTTGTTAACCATAATCAAAGATTAAAATTGCACATATTATCACAGAGTCATTAATTATTGTAGTTTCTCTTAAACACTAAATGTTAAAGATACATTTTATTAGACAAATTTGGATTCAATTAGTGCAATTCATCCACTTCCAGTAACTTACCAAACGTACATGAGTACTCCATCTTGCACTGCGTTTTATGGCTCCTACTACTGTATTGATTTCACCTTGTACAATGTAAATGTTCTTATCCACAATCCTGACAGTCCTAAAACAGAGACATCAAATTATTACTCCACCAAAAAAGGCATATTCCTATATCAGATCATGAAATTAGGAAAAATGCCTCAGAATCAACATTTTGAAAAGAAGTAGAAGAAATGTTTTAGGGCAAGTAGCAATAATCAGAATTGCACAGAAGCAGTCTGCTTTATGTACTACCATTTATGTAAATGGTAGTTATTTGTTTGTAAACACTGAGTTTATCAATTCATAAAAGCTATAAAAAGAGTTCTTTTTATAAAACATTCATACCCCAGCATTGGTGTGGAATCAAAACGCAGGACACAAATGCAAAATAATCAAGGCTTCACTGCAGTGTTTATTAGACAGTATGCACTGGAGGGGGACCCCACCAAAGGTTAGTGGGAGACACACTCCCTGTAGGCAAAATGGATGCCCTGATATTTATACAGTTCTACAAGAAGGGGAAAGGAAAAAGAATGCATATGCATACATATTCATATGATGATGCAGGGATACCACCTAAATGAGCAATACTTCTCAAGTTACTTTCTGCCCCTCTGTTATCTGCTATCTACAAGGACAACTGCTATCTACTGGGAAGAAGAAAAGAAGAAACTAATTGGTTCAAGGTGCCAAATGCCAGGAAGAAGGCATCCTCCCTTAAGTTGCTATGGGGATGTTTGTGATAAGGAGTTTACAAACACCTTAGTTCACAC